GGAAAGATTAATGTGCAAATGTAGGTTGGTGCAAAAGGAATTAAAACAAAATTAGTTGTTACACCATAGTTGGTAACTATGTAAACATTTCCTGTTTATTAAGATACAGTTAGATTTTAGAGATAATACAATATTGTGCTGCTTTAGCGCTTGTTCTCTTTCTTTTAATTTTCTGTATTTTAAAGACGGCATCACAATTGTTCACCTCTTTTGTCATCTGCTGGAACATTCCACTTCTCTCTGTCTTCCATTTGGATGGTATCAGTCAGTAATTACAGTTCACATATACTGTAGTTTAGTGAAGCTGTAAAGAATTGGTTTTTTTAAAAAAAATAAATCCCTGGCAAAGCAGTATCCCATTACATCACTGCTTCACATGCATGCATTCTCTTCAATATTGTTGGCTATTTCAGGTTAACTACCAAAATTATTTGCCTGAGAAGCGAGATTTAATTGTCTTACAACTACCTCTGTGAAATACAATAGGGATAACAAGTACCCATTGATTATACTATTGGATAGAAAAAGGGACTCTTATTCTTGCATTTTTCATTCATTTTGTCATTGCATTCTCTTTGAAAGAGACCAAATGGGTCTCAGCAGGTGAAAGCAAAGAAATGTGAAAGGGCCCCTTTGATGAACGACAATAACACAACTGCCCTCCTCTCTCCTTTAACCCCCTCCCCCCATTTTTTTGGAGATTATAAAACCGTATTAAATCATGCCCTGTTCGATATTGATTGAGAGGGAGCTAAACTAAAACCAACAATAGTAGACTGAATCAGAGAATTGAAATTTCTTCAATGGGCACTAAATCCAACTAACCTCCCAGTGCTTTTTTCTCCGGGCAGGCACTTAATAAATAAATAAAACTATTTACTTACCATCAAACTATTATATAAGGAACAAATTTACATTTGTGCCAGCATCATCAGTTACAGTCGTGTCAACATCTTGCAACAGTAACTGCAAGAAGCTGTGCCCACAATCTTATAGGTGGCAAATTCAAGTCAAGATTTGAGGGAAGGGAAATTTGAAATATTTGTAACACCTGTTGCTGAGTTCAAAAGAAGTACAAAGCACTTTTAAAACTGCAAAAATATATGTGGTTCAAGAAAGGCAGAATAATATTTGATGTTAGACCTAGATAATATTTGATGTTAGACCAATTGTGTTTCAAGGCTATTTATTGTAGACATCAGTATTCACTATGTGACAATCAGTTTGGTCTTGCTTGAATATGTTAGCTTAGAGGAGCTCTTCATGATAACATTGGGTGTTAATTTATGGTCAGTGGAGGACACACACCCCTCTTATTATCACAATGCATTTCGAACTGTAGCTGCAAATAACATAAAGCCAAAAAAAAAAAAAAGTTCTTACATCGTACCAAAGTCAATGCCAGTGCTTTTAATCTGAATGTGCTGTTTCTCGGTTGCATTCAAGCTATAGACTTGAGCTGTAAAGGTCTTTTCCATATTTTTCACTCTTATGTGTGTATCAGAAATTACAGCAGTTCTCTGTCAGAGGTAATTCCTGAGCATAGTTTACAATGTGAGGGGGGGAAATACTGATTTAAACAATCCATTTCCAAATAGACATTGTATTATGCCATGATAATAAGTGATGGCTAGATTCAACAAAATGTTCTGAAGTGATACTTCTCAAATTAGCCATTAGTGCAGAATGAAATAATTGTTCAGATAATAATGATACCAATATTAATTCTGTTCCTAGTATGTAAAGATAAGGGCTTTTGGGGTATTTATTATTAATAGACTTATTTGAAAGAACAGCACACAGAGAGCCAGGGAGGGGGAGCATATAAAAAGCTTTCCCTAGTAGACAGCAGCACAGTTATAAAAATTAAGAAAATGAAGCAAAGTAGTCCAGCATTCAAAGAAAAATATGTGTCACCTTTCTAATAGCTAAAATGTTTTGATGTTTGATGGTTAGAAACCCTTCAAATATGCACTCATCAATGAGGTGATTCATGATATCCATGCGGAAAGTATATTAAGACTTTTGCTGCTACTAACATGCTGCATGTTTAAAATATTAGTATCAAAAAACATCTGACAGATAAAAATCTTTGGAAGGATAGAAAATACTGCAGTGATAAAAAGAAGTGTGATGAGACATGAAAGAGCTGCATACAAAGCAAGATGCTTTTGAGAGGAACGCATACAAAAGAAAAGAATTAATTATCTTTTCACCATATGTTTATGACTGTATTGATTTTTTTGATTGATCTATATGCTTTCTTTTTTTTTTTACTCTAATAGTTGCTTTGCCTCTGTTTATTTACTTTCCTCATGTGACATCTATCGGTGTTCACCTTTGATTTTGTTCAATGCCTGTTGCAATACTTCCATCCAGCAATACTTTCTCTGTGGAATGCACATCATTAATAAATATTTTGATTATGAGCTAAATGTGAAGGTTGAAACCACTTGTAATTGCATTTGGCTCTTAACAACAAAAAGATGCATAGAGCAATGGCAGGTTTTGAAGCTTCTAGTGCCGAAACTGCAGTGATGCTCTTTGACACAGTTTCCCAAGCAAATTTTTATAAATATAGCATACCAGCTACAGAGCTTTAATTTCTTAAAATGCCACTCAGGATGAACTGGCTGAATTATAATGCTAATTGTATTTTAATTTGATTTGACTTTTCAAAGGAAGATACAGCGTGCTAGGTTTCTATTAATAATTATCAAGGTGTGGGGAGGTGGTTGTGCAAGCTTCATGTGCCTTATTTTTCAGATTGTGCAAAAAATGTGCTAATTCTTCTGTTGTCCAGTTCCTTGCAAAAATGTTCCTGTCCCTTACCTAAACAAGCCTAAAGTACCTAAAAATGCACCTGTCCTCTACCTAAATAATAAATTCTGGAGGAAAGAAGACTCTTGCAGTTTTTTTGTTCCTCGTTGTCTAGAAATAGACACACCTTCCTTCCAAATTACATTATGTATGCTGAGAAATACAGTCGTCAACTAATTGAGGATAAGCTGTAATGAACTATTGTGCTTGTCCTTATTGCCTACCAATTATCTACGGTGATTATAATTAGGACCAATATTTTTTTTCCTTGGGAGTGTTTGGGCAATCATCATTTGCTTATGGGTGCATTGTTGTTGTGCTACATTTTGACATTGTTCTCCAGATATGATCAAGGGAAATATAGTCTAGATGGTGTGTGTGTTGCAATGAATACATGCTTCGTCTACATTTAGTGTTTGAAAAGACATTCAATGTATTTAATAGAGTGATGGCCACCACCTAGGATGCCTTTGAAAGAGAATTAGACAAATTTATGGAGGATACAACTATCAGTGACTATGAGGCCTTGCCACCCTGGACTCATTCAGAAGGATTAGTGGGATGCAAACTGGATAAACAATAACAATCATGATGGGTATGTTTCTGCCTCCATTGTCAGAGGCCAGTTGCTCCTGAAGATAAGTTCTGGGAATCATGAGTTGGGAGAATGCTGTTGCAACCAGGTTGCACTTGCTGGCTCACCAGAGTGGTACATGCTCTGGTTATCTCCCGCTTGGACTACTGTGATGTGCTCTGTGTTTGTAGGTGACTTAGAAACTAATTCAAAATGCGGCTGCCAGACTGGTGACTGGGAGCAGCTCCCAGGACACCGGTTTTTAAAGGATCTACATTGGTTCCCAGTACATTTCCGAGCATAATTTAAAGTGTTGGTGCTGACTTTTAAAGCCTTAAACGACTTTGGCTCTGTGTACCTGAAGGAGTGTCTCCACCCCCATTGTTCAGCCTGGAGACTGAGGTCTAGCTCCAAGGGCCTTCTAGCGGTTCCCTGACTGTGAGAAGTGAGGTTGCAGGGAACCAGGCAAAGAGCCTTCTCAGAAGTTGTGCCCACCCTGTGGAACGCCCTCCCATCAGATGTCAAGGAAATAAACAACTACAATCATACCTCTTGTTGCATTTGCTGCACGTTGCAGCTTTTCGGGTTGCGAACGCAGCAAAGCATTCCGCACACTTCGCACATGCACAAAAGTGCTCTATCGTGCTCTGCGCTTGCGCAGAAGCGCTGCTCTAGTTGCAGACTTTTCGGGGTGCAAACGGCACCCCAGAATGGATCGTGTCCGCAACTAGAGGTACCACTGTATCTGACTTTTAGAAGACATCTGAAGGTAGCCCTGTATAGGGAAATTTTTATGTTTGATGTCTTACTGTGTTTTAATTTGTTGGAAGCCTCCCAGAGTGGCTGGGGCAACCCAGTCAGATGGGCGGCATATGAATAATAAAAATGTTCAAGGGAAGTAATAGTGCCACTGTATTCTGCTCTGGTCAGACCTCACCTGGAGTACTGTGTCCAGTTCTGGGCACCACAGTTCAAGAAGGACACTGACAAACTGGAACGTGTCCAGAGGAGGGCAACCAAAATGGTCAAAGGCCTGGAAACGATGCCTTATGAGGGGTGATATGATAGCCATGTTCAAATATATAAAAGGATGTCACATAGAGGAGGGAGAAAGGTTGTTTTCTGCTGCTCCAGAGAAGCGGACACGGAGCAATGGATCCAAACTACAAGAAAGAAGATTCCACCTAAACATTAGGAAGAACTTCCTGACAGTAAGAGCTGTTCGACAGTGGAATTTGCTGCCAAGGAGTGTGGTGGAGTCTCCTTCTTTGGAGGTCTTTAAGCAGAGGCTTGACAACCATATGTCAGGAGTGCCCTGATGGTGTTTCCTGCTTGACAGGGGGTTGGACTCGATGGCCCTTGTGGTCTCTTCCAACTCTATGATTCTATTTATTATTATGGCTTCCCCTGGACAAGGACCTTTGGCTTGATCCATCAGGGCTCTTCTTATGCTTTTATTCTCAGACAGCCAGTTTGGTGTGTGAGAGAAAACCATTCACAATTTCTTTAAGTTTTAAACAGATTAGAGATTGTTCACAACAACAAAAGTCATCTTCAATACCCATAAATGTAAACACCTGATTAATCATGTTTTCATCTCTTGCAGACATCCTTACGCCACTGAAACTGAAGCAGGCTGCTGAATTCAACCCAAGCATTTAACACCACTGCAGCCTGAATATCAGGTTTGGTCAACATAAAATAAAAAATATTCATGTGTAGTTATGTATTTTTCTGGAGGACAGTCAACCCCAGAAGCCAGTCAGGTAAGTGGAAGAATTTTGGATTGATATCTAATGGGAATAAACATGATTCCCGCTTCATGTGCCAGATATGTGCACAGATATGTGCTTGTCCACAGAGTATCTTCTGACAAATACTCAATATTTGATTAGGATGCATGTGATGCCCACACTACCACCATGGCAGACATGAGCTGAGTGCATTTACAGCCATGTGTGCCCTTTAAAGGCACCCAGTGTGCTTTAGGAGACATGTATCTCACTCATCAGCTGCATAATTCATCAGGCCGAACCACATGGCTCTTTTTAGTGATGAGGTGGTGGGGCTTGAGCGAATGTGGTTTGAATGATTCCCTTTGTGGTTAAATGGCCACAATAGCACTTCACTACAAGTCTAGGTGCTATATTTCCACCCTCTCGCAAGATGCAGGGATGGGATACAGTAGCTGCATATTGAACTGTGGCCACTTGAAGATGCAATCTCTTGACAATTTTGCCACGCTGCATGTAGGGGGTAAAATTTACACTTCATTTTTATCCACAGACCCCCCCCCCAGTCCAGATGATCATGCTAATTGGCCCCTGGACTTTGATCCTTAGAAAAATGAAAAATGAAAAATTAATCAAATCCTGCCTTTCCTTCGTGATGCTTCCCAGCACAGAGAGAATCAATCACATAAAGTGTGACATCACACCTTTTCCCAACATACCGTACTTCCAGTTCTCCAGCACCAGAGAGAAACTGGGTGATATATTGCACTTCTCATGATTACCCATCTGCATAGTGTGGATCACCACATGGGGTGGGGGGGCAAACCCTCTCGAGATTGTCTGCACTACTCCTTCATTCCAAATATAAAGTGAGGAGTGGGGTGTAAATTGGCCTAATTCTTCCGTTCATCTTGGTTGTTGATCTGACACATCAACATCTTTACAGGGTATGCAAAATTATCAGAAACTGTAAGATATTGGTCCACTAATTGGGACTCCTGTTACAAAGTTTTGTCATGATTTCTAACCAAACAGGTTTATACTCATGAAATACTGCAAATATAGGAAAGATCTTGGTTTTCTAGCTTGGTCTCCCTTATTTTTCTCCCCACATCTGTTTACATGTCCTCCAGTTGTTACCATTGTATTTAGATTAATTAATTTTCACTAAATGCCAATTTACACATGTGCATCAGAGGGAGATTATTCCTTATAGGCCAATTAGCATCTCCTTCGGAAGAGCTCAAATGAAGAGGTTTTGCTCAACTGTGTGTGTATGTGTATGCACATTTGTGTGTGTGTTGGGGGAAAATAGAAACCATATTCTAACCATATTGCATAGGTCTAGAGAGAAGTTCCCTTTTGCTACTTTAATGTACCAAACCTTTACTATTCTCTAAGTTTTCTTTAGCTCCTTCTCAGACCTTCATGCTCAGAATTTTAATGATTAGGTCTTCCTCATTGACACTCCATAAATTCCTACCCATTGCACTTCCATTTCTGATGTAGCGCTGTAGAGGCTTAAAGCAAGCAAACAAAAATCCTAACTGGAAGTAGAAGCAAAAAAGCAATGGAGCAGGCAAAAGAGATTACTATTAATCCAGCACATTTCAGGCCCTAAGTATAAGGGAAGGGGCAGCAAGTACATCTAAATGTTGACTTGTTCATTCTCTTAATTTCCCTGAAGGAGGACCAGTAGGGTCCGGAACACATTGGCTCAATAAACCTCTCTCTTGACTGCCCCATTACTTTTTGATTCCACTTCCACATCCTTTTGGGGAGTTCCCATTTTTGTTACATTTCCAAACTATATTGCTCTTCATTGCAGTGGAATGCAGAGTGTCCTCAAACGACCTCTTAAATCAGAGTTAAATGGAAGATTTTAGTAAGGAGTTAAAGGTAAAAAGAAAAGCATCTGGATATATCTGTAAGATGCAGGTAATAAGAATGTATTATATTTTTGTGGTTTGGGGGTGGGGTCTGCCAAACCTATGTTAAGCTGGAAAGGTGCTCTCCCTTTTTTGTTCAGTTCCTATTACATGCGCCAAACACAAATAAATAAAAAGCAAGCTCACACTAGTGAAATCCAGATATTGGGTTGCCAATGTGGTGCCCTCCAGATATGATGGACTGCGACTCCCAGCATCCCTGAACATTGGTGGTGCTGGCTAGGACTAATGGGAGTTGTAGTCCAGAACATCTGAAGGGTACTATTTCTGCTGTCTCTGATCTAAATTCTAAATATTGTGGGTTGGGATCTATCAAGTATCTTTTGTGAGCTGAAAGCATAGGTACAAAATCCGGCAAAACTTATGAAGAGAAATGACAAGTGGAATGATTTCACATACCGTGGGCAATGATGACTCTTTCATGCCATCTTCAGCTTTGTCTGTCTCCAACCTAAGAGCCTAATCCAATTCTTTGCAGTGTATACAAGCAGACAACCTCACTCAGGCTATGTTGGTGCATATATCTCCTTTCCCCTAGTTGTGATTCAGTGACCTGCTCTCTCCTAGCACTTAAGTGACAATAACCGGGATAGTAGCCAGTTCTTTGCACCCATCCAGCGTTCCTTGGAGTGAGTTTCCAATGCTGGTGCATACTTCAAATTGTTAATTCTCAAAGATTTCCTCTTACTTTTATCAGAGTTGGGGCAGCCTGTCCCATTTGCTATCTGAGGCAAAACAGGAAGATGCCCCTCTATTTCTGCCACCCCTACCAAAGCCTTGCTTGCTGGGGACACACAGCGACTTCTGGTGAGATCTCACGAGAAAATCTTCCTCAGAACTCTCACAAGATCTCGCTGGAAGCTGCAGCTGCCTGTGAAGCTGTGTGGCTCTGGCAGCAGGGGCAGGCAAGGGGCCTACAGGGGCACCACTGCCTTATAGGATTCAGCCACCTGAGGTAACTATTTCGGTCAGCCTCATATGCAGGCCAACCTTGATCAGAGTAGAAGTGGCCACTTCTTTCTATTCATGTCATGGCTTATACAATAGCAGCCCTACTGCAAGAGTAACAGTGAAAGCCCGAGGATGTGTAGCATATTTGCAAGGTTGTCATCAGAAGGGTCCTTCTGAATCAGGCCCATTTGTTGAAATCAAACAAGCACTTTTGCTATATTCTTCAGTGCTTGCTTAAAACATTTTTCTTTTGGCAAAGCAGGGCTCTTTTTCAGCCAGAACTCACCAAAACTCAGTTCTGGCACCTCTCAGGTGGGCGCCAATGCCATTCTAAGAGAACAAGGACCATGTCCATACTGAGTTCTGGCACCTCTTTTTCTAGAAAAATAGCAGTGAGGTAAACCCATTCAGACATGTGGAAGTCACATGTGTTTTATCTCTTTTCAGCTGACTTTAATAATCTTTTGACTGTTTTTCAATATCTGCTTTAATCAGGCTGTGTTTTTTAAAATCAAGAACTTTCATGTTTTATTTCATATTTTTGTAAACTGCCTATGGAAAGCCTGCAAGCAGGACATGAGCAGAACAGCCTCTCCCTACTTGTGATTCCCAGCACCTGTATCAAACTTTATTTCGGACACAGACAAGCATATGATAAAACATACGGATAAACTGAACACATAAGGCTTAAAAAAGGTAAGGGATAGAAACTGGTAGTTAAAAAGTGATTATATCATACATAACTTTAAAAGATAAAAACAAAGACAAGCAGTTAAAAGAGAGGAAAGTGATGGAGCACAGGTCTTGCATTCTGGGCCTTCTGTTTAGGCGTAGTTTGTGGCACAAACCATCCTTTGATAAATATCCATCATGGCAGCGCAAAATCTAGCACCTGAGTATGTAACACCTGGGTTTCTGGTTAAGATGACTTCCGGTTAAGATGGTGATGGTTCAGAAAACAGGCTCTGGAGCTCCACAGATCACAGGATTTTAACTGAGTTTTAATTGGATTTAACTGTGTCAAACCAATTGTTTTACCCAGCACCTGGTATTCAGGGGGAAACTGCATCTAACAGTGGTGGTAAAACATAGTGATTGTGGCTAGTAGCCCCGATAATCTTATCCTCCATGAATTTGCCTAATTCTCCTAAAACCACCCACGTTTGTGACCATCACCACTTCTAGTGGGATTGAATTCCACAGTTTAACTATATGCTCTGTGAAGTACTTTCTTTTGTCTAACCTGTATCTTCCAACATTCACCTTCGTTGTGTGGCTCTGAGTTCTAGTATTTTGAGAGAAAGGGACTCTATTCATATTCTCCACACCATACGTAACTGTCTGCAGCTCTGTCGGGTCCTCCCCTCACTCACCATTTTTCCTAAACTGAAAAGTCCCAAATGGTGTAACCCACCTCCAATGTTAACAATGCAGAGGGTTCTTAGGTCCAGCATTGATGTAATATTTGAACGTGCATAGCACATATCCCCTTCACTTAAGCACCTAAAGTGGGACTTTTTGAATGAAGCTAAGTGCTAAATTAAACCCTCAAAAATAACCATTGCATTTGCTGAAGAAGTTGCCAGAGTTGCGGGTGGGGGCAGAGCATGATCCTGATTTTTCAACTTCTCTGTTACACTTCTGAGCTACACCATTACATTAGCACAATTTGTGCATTTAATTTTCTCTGTTAAAACTAAAATAAAGTTGATGATGCTTTTATAACACACATTTAATGTGAATGCTAAATTATACACTGTTACACTGAGTTAACATGTTTCACATTGATATATTTTTATTCACTTGCTAAAAGTCCCTCTTCCATGAATACTTGAGACGATGAAGCATTTATCCACTACTCTTGCATGCCGAAGAGATGGTTATTCTAGTCAAGAAACCCAATTTCCATACATTACAATTATTTGGGATTGTTACTAATGTATGATAATGTAAGGAAAGTGTAGGCTTTCTTCTTCAATTTCTAGGGAGGAGTTATTTTATATCATTAAGTTACAGTACTTTCACTTTGCGCCAAATTCTCTAGATCAGTAAATTTATTGCTGGCTGATTATTCAAACAGCAAGGAACAGGGTGGGGGGGAATTATCCAGCTAGCTATTCTGCTCCTCTAGAAGAAATATTTAACTCCAAAGTGGCTAACAACAGGGCATTTAGACACCTAGATTCTCTTTGAAATACCTTTGATAGCAACAAAATAAATTGGTATCCTGATCCTATTAGAGAGCACAATCCTAACCCCACCAGGTCTGCTGGACAGAGGCAGTTAGGATGGGGCAGCGGTGTCCATTGTCTGCTTCAGAGACTCTCTGCTATACCCATGGAAATCTCTTAAGGAATGAAGAAGAAGAAGAAGAAGAAGAAGAAGAAGAGAGAGAGGAGGAGGAGGAGGAGGAGGAGGAGGAGGAGTTTGGATCTGATATACCACTTTATCACTACTACCCGAAGGAGTCTCAAAGCGGCTAACATTCTCCTTTCCCTTCCTCCCCACAACAAACACTCTGTGAGGTGAGTGGGGCTGAGAGACTTCACAGAAGTGTGACTGGCCCAAGGTCACCCAGCAGCTGCATGTGGAGGAGCAGAGACGCAAACCCGGTTCACCAGATTACGAGTCTACCGCTCTTAACCACTACACCACACTGGCTCTATGAATGAATCTACTGCCAGTGATGGTCAGTGTGAGGTCTCAAAACAGGGCATTTTGGGGGCAGAGTCAGGAAAGAGGCAGCCTTTATCTGCTGGATCCAAAGCCCCAGATGAACGCCAGGCTCATGCCCATGCCTCACTGATTTTAATGGGATGGGTAATTCTGAAAGATGGAGATCCGCCAGGCAAGACAAAAGGGAAAATGCCACACTACCACCTGGAAATAACAAGCTAGCAGGCTTTTGGAAGTACTGGATGATCCACCACTTCATACACCCACACCATTTTTTTTTTTTAAAGACAGAAAGTTTGACTGGCTAGAGATAACAGTTCAAATATGATCATGTGACACATTGATGAAACAGACAACAGAAAAAGAGTAAGGTACTTGTACAAGCTGTTAAGGCCTCTTGAGATGCTATTATATTTTCAGAACAAGTAACAGGGAAAGAAATCCAGATAAATTTTCAGTGGAAAGAACCTAAAGAAATAAAAACAGCAGCTGCAAACACAAAGCAAAATACAGCCATGCTTTGCAACGCCCCCTTCTCTGAATTTTGCAATGCAGTTCTCCTGCTAATAATGTGTATAAAAATGCATATGTTAGGGTGAAGTATGCAAAAATGCATTATAGTAAGAAAAATTGCTTTCCAAAGGTGTGCATAATTAGGAGAAATGTGCACTTTAAAAAAAGAAAGCAAACTGATGTGGAAATGTGGAGATCTGAAGTTACAACTGGAAAAATGAGAAGTGGAACAAAACTGAAAATGACAGGATTCACCCATCCCTAGTGCCGAATGCACATGTGTTCACACCAAGTGCACCAATCTGCAGAGGGAGTTCCACAAATACAGTGCCACCACAAAGATGCTCATTTGCCACTATTCACCTGCCAGACCTCAGCAGGAATAAGTCAGCAGAATAACCCAGAAAAGTACCTCACCAGCTGATATTAAGGGCAGGATCACATAGCAGAAGGGCCATAGCTCTGTGGTAGATCATCTGCCTTGAATGAAAGAGGTCCCAGGTTCAGCCCCTGGCCTCTCCAAGTATAGTGGGCAAAGGTTCCTGCCTCAGACCTTGGGCTGCCGTTGCCAGCCTGCGTAGATAATATTGAACTAGATGGACCAATGTATCATCTCAGTATAAGGGAACACCATTTTCAAGCCATAGTTGTGAATAGCTCAGTGCCCAGCTGCTCGGAATCCTTTATCCCCATGCATATAGGCAAGAATTAATTATGGCGTTTTTGGTTTGCGCTCTCTCCTTTTCTCCAGAACATTTCCTCGTCTGTTAACAATGAGAAATGCAGTGGAACTACAGAACTATGCAATCCTATACCTATCTACTCAGAAGTAAGCTACACTGAGTTCAATAGG